GGAGAAGGAAGGAGAAGGAGAAACGAGAAGGAGAAGGAGAACGAGAACGAGAGGGAGGTCGAATGAAAAACGGTTTGGTGACGTTGTGCAAAGAGGTGCTCACGTCGAAGAAAAAAAAAACACTTAACACAAATCACAAGAACTCGTTTGACTCGTTAAATTTTTTCTCCTTCACACAATCGTTAGCTCTTTTTTGACAATCTATATTACAACTTATAGACCGCGTGTGGAATCACAGTCTGTACACAAAATGACAAGGACCCACAGTCAGGAAGACACGTTATTCAGTACGACCATTTTCCTTCTGAACCACAACACGACCAACCACTATATCTTTGTTGTTTTATCTGAAGGACTGAGAAACAAAGAGGTGCAGGTGGAAGGCTAAGGATTTCCAATGAGGCACAGGAAGCAGCAGCTACAAACTGGGTTTTGGCAAACAATGCCATCACACTTAGAGAGATCCGAAGCAGAGTACCTATTTGCTGAGATGCATGTTGCACAATGTTATTTTTGAATAAAATGATTTTTTCAACAACTCATTTGTATTTCTTCATTTACTGTATTTCTGTAAACTCAAGCAATCTTTCTCTGCAGAAACCTCTATGTACAGAGCATAGCCCATAAAAGATGAAAGTGCTTTAGATTATGCTCAGCAGTGTGTAGTTGGGTGGTCAAACCATCTATCATTATGAATGAAGTGTGTTATATTTGGTGCAAAAGTTTGCATTTGGTAAGTGTTTATGTAGTTTTGAGTGCAGTTCTTAATTTAGCAGGAGAAATTAGGTGTTTTGCACTTTGGGTGTGTGGTTTTGTGAATTGTGTTTAGTGTTCTGAGAAACTGAGCAATTAAAAAAAAAATGTGTGTTAGCAATCGAGAAAAACTGTAAATGGTTCTTAATGGAGTTTTAGCCATCGAAAATCAGACAAAGGTTAACATTTAAAGCTGTGGAATTTGCCCTGGTGAGTTTGTAAAGAAGCAGATTTATGTTGGAATATGTTCTAGTCTAGACATAAAGTACCTGTTACAGAGTATCGAGTTTGTCACTTGATACTCTGTAACAGACTTTCTGTACGTTTAGCTGAATATTAGTATTAGTATTAGCAGATGTGCTCACTCTTTCCCCTGGGTGGCATCAGCCACAGCGATGCTGCTGTTGTGGGCCGTCCAGGCCAGCTGGTCTCCGCTGGGGGAGAAGGTGACGCCATGCACCCAGCCTCCACAGTCCTTATGCTCCAGCAGCACCTCTCCAAACGGCATCTTGGCCCCCCAGGCAGTGGGCCCAGGCTTGTCCTCAATGTCCTTGATGTAGGTTGACAACACCCTGAGAAGTGTGCAGACTGTTATTGTCAGCTGGGGTCAAAGGCTGGGTTGCTTATAAAGTACTGTCAGACCTCCTGCTCAGGCAGATCTATTTATATTGTTTGATATCATTGAAATATTAATGGGGATTGTCCACAGTATTGAGTATGTAAGTCGCTTTGGATAAAAGCATCTAACAAGTGACATGTAATGTAATTAATGTCTTGGAAAAGCTGATAGTTAACGATATGCTGATTTTATACAATTCTGGAGCTTTCTTTTTCTGCTATGGTCTTAATTGAACCTAAAAAAGGGAAAATAATTTAAAAAAAGAAATGTCAAAGATATTATTAAATACTCTTGTAACAAAGGCTACCACTACCTGCCTGCTTCTGGAAGACGTCCGGTTGCAGGAAATTAAAATAGATAATAAGATCAGCAAGTGGAAAGGACAAACACAGTCTGTTAGCAAGGCCCCCACAACTGCTGTAAACTAGGGCTGTCAAACGATTAAAATGTTTAATCAGATTAATCACAGCTTAAAAATTAATTAATCATGATTAATCACCATTCGAACTATGTCCAAAATATGCCATTTCTTTATGTATATTGTTGTGGGAATGGAAAGATAAATGAAAGAAG